CAGTTGAACCAGCACCATACGTTGAAAATGCTGTCCTTTTTCCACTGGACAGTTTTAGCTCCTTTGTCAAAGATCAAGTGACCATAGGAGTGTGGGTTCATTTCTGGGTCTTCAATTCTATTCCATTGATCTTCCTGCCTGTCTCTGTACCAATACCAGGTAGTTTTTATCACTATTGCTCTGTAGTACAGCTTGAGGTCAGGGATGGTAATTCCTCCAGAAGTTCTTTTATTATTGAGAATAGTTTTTGCTATCCTGGGTTTTTTGTTATTCCATATGAATTTGAGAATTTCCTTTTCTAACTCTGTGAAGAATTGAGTTGGGATTTTAATGGGGATTGCATTGAATCTATAGATTGCTTTTGGCAAGATGGCCATTTTTATTATATTAATCCTGCCAATCCATGAGCATGGGAGATCTTTCCATCTTCTGAGATCTTCTTCAATTTCTTTCTTCAGAGACTTGAAGTTCTTGTCATACAGGTCTTTCACTTGGTTGGTTAGATTCACACCAAGGTATTTTATATTATTTGCAACTATTGTGAAGGGTGTCATTTCCCTAATTTCTTTTTCAATCTGTTTATCTTTCATGTAGAGGAAGGCTACTGATTTGTTTGAGTTGATTTTATAACCAGCCACTTTGCTGAAGTTGTTTATCAGGCTTAGGAGTTCTCTGGTGGAAGTTTGGGGGTCACTTAAGTATACTATCATATCATCTGCAAATAGTGATATTTTGACTTCTTCCTTTCCTATTTGTATCCCTTTGACTTCTTTTTGTTGTCTAATTGCTCTGGCTAGGACTTCCAGTACTATATTGAATAGGTAGGGGGGAGAGTGGGCAGCCTTGTCTAGTCCCTGATCTTAGTGGGATTGCTTCAAGTTTCTCTCCATTTAGCTTGATGTTGGCTACTGGTTTGCTGTAAATTGCTTTTACTATGTGTCGGTAGGGGCCTTGAATTCCTGATCTTTCCAAGACTTTTATCATGAAGGGATGCTGAATTTTGTCAAATGCTTTCTCAGCATCTAGTGAGATGATCATGTGGTTTTTTTCTTTAAGTTTGTTTATATAGTGGATTACATTGATGGATTTCCGAATATTGAACCATCCCTGCATTCCTGGGATAAAACCTACTTGATCATGATGGATGATTGTTTTGATGTGGTCTTGGATTCGGTTTGCTAGAATTTTATTGAGTATTTTTGCATCGATGTTCATAAGGGAGATTGGTCTGAAGTTCTCTTTCTTTGTCGGGTCCTTGTGGGGTTTGCATTTTGATCATATTCATAAACCCACTGCTTCCAGATCATACTCCCTTTCCCTCTCACCTAACTTTATGTCCCCTTTTCATTTTTAAACCCATCAAGTAGAAGTTATGCTACCATGTGCTATTGGACTTGTGGTATATTGTTTCTCTAAATTCTGTCATTATTTTAGTATGTTTATAATAGAATTGATCATACTTTTTTCTTCCCCACTCCTCCTAGATATGCCATACTTCTAAATACCCAAAAAAACAAAAAGGACTAAATCAAAATAATAAAAATTCCAATAAAATAAAAATAAGACAAAATAAAAAAATAGCAAGACAAAAATGTGTGTGCTCTCTCCTTCTTCCCTCCCCCCTCAACTCAATCTCAAACAAACACACACACACACACACACACACACACACACACACAACCATGAGGTTCCATTTAGATTATTTAGATTGGCCAACTACTCCAGGGCATGGGCCTGCCTTGGAATGTGGTTGAAATTCCCAGTGATACTCCATTGGAGAAAATGAATTTTTCCGTATTTCAGCAGATATCAATTGCAACATTTCAGTAATATCTTGATCAGAGAGTACTTTAGACACATCCTTTAATATTTTAACCAAAGCATAGTCACTTTTTATCCATGTGGATCATCTGATTTGTGATCAGTGTGGATCATCTGAGAATGAGTATTTTCCTTTTTGGTTGAAAATTCATGTTTAAGTAATTATTTTCTCCTTGCACATTACTGTAGTCAACGTAAGCTAAATCTCACTTTCGAATTTCAGTATCTTTTAATTCAGTAATTGAAATCATGACCTTTTAAATTAATCATCTTACTATGATATTTCATGGTTCTTTGCATGTATGTTTCTATGTTTAAAGTTGTATATCTGTTGGGATAAATAGGGGTCTTTTAAAGAAAAATCTTCCCTTGAGATCTTAATTTTATGAACTACTGAGGGCACAAAGACGGCAAAAATATTATAAACTATGAATCAAATAATAAGGAAAATGAAAATGTAGCATAGAAAGAAGGAAAAAGGAAATTTTAATAAAATAAATGAAAATATATACATATATATTTTCTGTATTTACATAAAATCAAGGACCCACAAATAAGAAAAAAATATTATATTTGAAGTTCTATGCTAAGCCTGGCTAATTTTGCTTAATATGATAATTACCTATTGCATGTACTCTCCTGGAAAACATGATATCATTCCTCTGAGTGGATAAAACTTCATTATATATGCATTTAATACACTCAATTATTAACATGCACCTAGTTTTCTTGGCTGTTGTGAACTGCTGGGGCCAGCCCTGGAGTGATGGGAGGAGAAGGAGTCTTCTTTCTTCTCCTCTGTTGGTTCTTCTTGAGGCAGCCTGGGGTGGGGTGAGATGGGGATAGATGAGCATTGGAGGTGGGAACTTGCTCTTAAGACATTGGGAGTAAGGCCTTGGGCCTTACAAGATTCATTCATGGGAAGACTTTGGTCTTAGGGGATATTTAGGGTTGCTGTTTAATAAAATCTTACTTGTCTACATTATTAAAGTTTACTTACTATTTCACTGTAGCTGACCTGCCCTCTGGTATCCTCTGAAGCCAGACAGCAGAGGATTAGGCAAATAGCCTTTGTACTCTCTCTGCAGGAGCTGCTGGGCCCTGACTTATGCCAGCTATTCTGAGGTCACAGGAAGGAAAGACACTGAGAGAAGTTATTAAAGTTTATTACTAAGTGTAAAATGTTTCCTATGAAAGCTATCTAAGAGAAAAAGTGGAAAGATCCTAAGTGAGGAAAAGGAAAACATTCTAACAAAGGAAAAATTCTAAGTGATAAAATTCTAAGCAGAGGAAAAGGAAAGGATGAAAAGCTCCTTAGGAACCTCTACATCTATTCTTCTACTACCATGACTACTCCTACCTTTGTCTTTGTCTTCAGTACTTATTCTTTGAGTTGTTTACCTTAAAGGCGTTATTTGACTTTTAAAATTCTCTATGTATTCTATATACTGACCATCTCTCAGATATTTAGCTAAAAAAGATTTTATCTCATCTTCAGGACTGTCTTTTCACTTGAATGTTTTCTTTGATGTGAAGAAGCTTTTCTTTTTTTAAAAAAAATATTTACTTAGTTATTTAATGTTATTTTTATTATTTAAACATATTTTAAAGTTTAAACAAAATTTGATCATACCCTTCTCCCTTCTCCAAGAATTTCCAGTACCCCTTTACTTCCCCACAGATTCAACTTTAATTTCTTTCTCAAAAAACAAACAAAACCCACTATTACAACAACAACAACAAGAAAACAAAATGATACACCATCACCAGAAAATAACACTGAACTGTAACCAAGTAAATGTACACAAAACCTATTGAGTCCATTACATGTTTGTTAATTACTCTTGAACATGAAGTCTGTCCTAGGCTGGTTCATGTACCTACAGTATCACTCAGAGAAATTGGTCTCTCATGAAGAGGCTTTTCATTTTCATTGAATATCTTTATGTTCTTATGTGATTGTTTTTGTGAGTTTAGAGCTTTGCCAGTTTATGGATAATTGTTTCTACATATTAAAATTTATTTTCTAAGATTTTTCTAGTCCCCTGAAGAAAGGAAATGCTTTTATTCTCTTGAGAATATGATAAACATAAGTACACTCATGTGATTGAAAATCACATGATTCAAAACTTTGAAACTATAGTTATTGAATAGTTCAATGTTCTTATACTTACTACAAAAATACAATGTTATTTTTATACCTATATGTAAGTAAAGAAAGATATATTGATATGGGCATAATCACTATTATAAATATTATCTGATTCACAGATTCTCAAATCATAAGATGGCTTTCTTGATAATAGAAAAGCCTAGTTCTTCAATTTAGATAGATCTGGCACTAAATATTTTATTTTATTTAATCTCATCTTATGAAATACCATCTTATAAAATAAACTATCTAATATTCTCAAGTAGAAATTCTTCATGTATAAAATATGAAATATCTAAGAGATGGCATTATATGTTCAATTACTCAACAACCAAACTACAACCTCTGGTATCTACAATGGTAACTTGCCTTTAAGATATGTTGTGCAATAGTGGCATAAATTTTGTGAAAGTAACCAACTACCATCTAATCTGAATGAAGTTTGACTCTGTAGCACTGATGAGATGTCTAAGAACCTGAGATTAGATAGGCCATGGGTCTTAGTGCAAACCAAATATTAGTGTTCTGCTAAAGGAACCTAGCAATAAAATGACTCCTAATAACATTCTGATATACTCATAAATCAGTATATTACTCAGCCATTATCAGAGAAGATTACATCTGCAGTAGATGGAAACAAATACAAGACCCACAGGTAGGGTCTCAACACCAAGAGCGAAAGTAAATACAATCCCAGATCCCTAATCCATAAGCTATCTCCAATAGCAAGTAAATATTTTTTAAAACTTTAAATTAAAAATGTAGTTTTTACAAAAGGGTCTTTCTGGCTATACAAATCATACTTAAGGACAAGCCCCATGCCCAACAAATGACCAACATAGAACAAAAAAAGTATTATCTGTGGAGGTTTGTCTTTGTATATTGTTTTAAATAGGGTTTATATGTTTCTAATGTGTGTGTGTGTGTGTGTGTGTGTGTTCCTTTGTGTGTATTCCATGCCATGTGCTTTTTTTGTGTTTTTTTCTTCTGTTGATGTTGTTTTATTCCAGTTTTGTGATTATTTTACCTTATTACATTTTTAGATGCCTTTTCGATACCTAATGAGAGGGAAATAGGGACGTTGTAGTGGTTTGAATATGCTTGGCCCAGGGAGTGGCACTATTAGGAGGGGTGGTCTTGTTGGAATAGGTGTGTCTTTGTTGGAAGAAGTGTGTCACTGTGGCAGTAGACTTTGGGGATCCTATACTCAGGCTCTGCCCAATGTGAAATTGTTTCCTGCTGCTGCCTTTGGACTGAGATAAAGAAATCTAGGCTCTTCCAGAAGCATGTGTGCTGGGATGTTGCCATCCTCCTCACCATGATGATAATGGACTGAACTTCTGAAAATGTAAGCCAGCCCCAATTAAATATTTTGTTTTATAAGAGTTACCTTGACCATGGTGGCTCTTCATATCACCAATGGTTTCCATGTTTCTCCTAGGATAGCCCATTAAGTATCACTTAAATCATTCCATTGTTTTCAAATCCAAAGTCCTCAAATCCATTTTCCTTCTAAACAAAAATGTGGTCAGGCCTTTCACAGCAATACCCCAGTCCTTGGTATCAACTTTTTTTCTTAGTTAGGGTTTTATTGCTATGAAGAGATACTATATATTCTTTTTTGCTTCCATTGGGTGTGTTTGTCTCATTTTGTGATTTTTTATTGGATATTTTATTTATTTATATTTCAAATGTTATCCTCTTTCCTGGTTTCCCCTCCACAAACCCCCTTAATATAACCAGCTCAGTCAGTGTAATGACTATTTAGTATTAGATAACCAATTGGTATGCTCTTCCTTAAAGACTATCTTGTCCTCTCTTGGTGTTCTTTAGTTGCTTGCAGTAGTTTGTATATAGCTGAGGCATCATGAGCTTTCTCCCAACCACTTTGGTATGTCTATTGTCCTTGTCTAGTCCATGTTTAGGCAGTCATGTTGGAGAGATTTTACAGGTTTAGCTTTTGACATTACTGGGAATATATAATATATAATCCCACAGAAAATTCCCTGATCCTTCAGATATTACCATATTTCTACTATTTATTTAGCAATAGTCCTTGGACTTTAGATGTGAGTATGTTTTATAGATGTATCCAATGGAACTGAATTCTAGAACTCTAAATTAGTGTTATTTGTAATTTTCTTGAATAATTTATCTCTACTGTAAAGAAAACTATCCTTAATGAGAGGTGAGGACTACTCTTACCTGTCAGTATAATGCAGTTTGAGATAATGTTGGTTTGCTAAGATGGTGGTTGTAGTTTATCCTCTGTTTTCCATTACTTTACTAGCCCTGGGAAATTCCAGCACTAGCTATAGTTGCCATCATGTTTAGTGGGTCTTAAGTCCAATTAGAGATGTTACAACAAAATAAATATTTTTTTACTACATCACCCTTAGGTTTATGGTGCCATACTGGTCATTGCTGTGAATAATGGGTTTCACATAAGAATAGGACTGTTGATTGCTTACGTCTTTTGTAGCTGTGATGATTTGAATAGGTATGGCCCTCATACACTCATGTGTTTGAGTGCCTGGCCCATAGGAAGTAGCACTATTAGGAGGTGTGGTTTTGTTGGCGTAGGTACAACCTTGTTGGAGGAAGTGTGTTACTTTGGGGGCAGGCTTTGAAGTCTGTCTCATATGGTCATATACCCAGTGTGGCATACAGCCTTAACTTCTGCTGCCTGCTGATCAAGATGTAGAACTCTCATCTCCTCCAGCATCATATCTGTCTGATTGCTTCCATACTTCCCTCTATGAAGATAATGAACTAAACCTCTGAAACTGTAAGCCAACCCCAATTAAATGTTTACATTTATAAAAGTTATTGTGGTCATGGGTGAGTGTGATCATTCTCAACAATGAAATCCTAAGACAGAAGCTTATATGCCACCTTCTATTTCCATGAAAATCAGTCCTCAGGGAAAGGTATTCAGGTCCAATTTTCTGGGCCTTCTGTCTACATTCATTGTATCTTCAATAATAAGAATTTACCTTCCACCTCTTGGGTCATACCAAGGGCAATAACAACAAGAGTGTCTTTACCAACAACTCAAAAGTAAGCTTCTTATGCCTGGCATTAAGGTTTTTGTTGGGTGGTAATAGCATTGTAAATTTGATTGATTCCAAACATGGAAATGTAAGTCTTTACACCTAAAAAGTACACAGAAAGTGAAATGGTTGGAATAGGTAAAGGGATTTTTTTCTTAATGACTAGAAGATGCATCGTCAATTTTTCCCCATGGGTACAATTTTTACTTTAAATTAACTGATTATTTGTTTGGCAAATTTGGGTATTTACAAAATATATTCTTCAAAGTAAAGAAAGTGAATCCTCACAGAAATGAATCACAATGATGTCATCCAAACTCTTTGAGGTTAATTACAATGTTGGGTTATTTCACCCACTACAGTAAATGTGAAATATGTTCAATACTCAGACTTTCTTCTGTGTCATTAATAATATAGAGCAACATGATTATATTGTTATTTTATAGATATTTGCCAAGTAGAAATAAATGTGTATATTTGTAGAATATAAAAAGGAGTTATATTCATAAGTGTTAATACCTAAGCTTAATACTGTAATGATGAATGCATCATTTAACAGAAAGTGTTCTTAACTGAAAATCTATCCTTCCAGCTTCTCATTTTTAAAATAATTTTGTTCAATACATAGTTTTACTATGTATCTCAGTAACACCTTAAACTGGTGATTCTCTTGCCTAGGCACCCTCAGTGCTGTGATTACAGAAATATAGACCAACTAAACTCTTGTATTTGTGGAAACGCTCAATTCTATTCACTAAACAGAACACAGTTAACTATGTATAAATGAATTCTAAGTATACCTGACTTCCACTGTTTCATTTTAAACTTTCTGTATGGTAAGCATCAAGGGCTAAATAGTATACAGGAAAAAAATCTTTATTTTTTTCAGTGTTTGAAAAGATTGAAGAAAATTCCTGAGCCTTTATGGGCCCTAAAACTTGCTCAGGGCTAGGCTGTTGTAACTTAAAATTTTTCATATATTCCATTATTTCATATATTCCAAAATTATTTTTAGTTACTACTAGATTGTGAATAGCATGAAAATATAAAATTTGCAGTGGTAATTTCCACTGTGCTAATACCAGAATATGGATCTGAAAGAAACTGAAGCCCTTGCTTCAAGACCACTCTTGCATCTTTAAATCCAGTATTGTGGCATCTGTACAGTTACACAGTGCATCTATCATCTTTATCTAAAATGGAACACTATACAAAAGAATAGTTAGTAGACTATTTGCCTAACATTCTTTCACTCAATTAAACCCTACTATCAATGTAATTAGTATATTCACAGAATGTTTCAACCAACAACTCAGAAAATTTTAGGAATCTTTTCTTTCTAAACAGAAGCTATTGGGCTCAGTTAGCAATAATTGTTCGAATCTTTCCAAACCATATAGACCTTTGTCTCTAATATTTTTTCCATCTTTATTGGCCTGCTTTCAACATTAGTTTAACATATGATCTTTTGTGAAGAGTTTCTTTGTGTTCATTATTTTGCTTGTAAAAATACTTTATTTATTTTGTATTTTTCATAGGCTAAACAGTGTCATGATAATATTCAGTATGAGGAAAATATCACTCACAGCTGTAAAATCTTGTTTGGGGAGAAAAATATAAGAATATACATGAGAAAATTTCCTTAATTTTTGTCTCATAAAAGTAGTAGGGCACATATGCACACACATGTATCCATGCATATACACCACACACACACTCACACACAAACACACACTTTAAGATATGAGAACTAGTCTAGTTCAAAGCTTTAAATCCATGATTAAAGACATTTATATGCATACTCTTAAACCCCAATTATAAGAAAACATATAGATTTTTAAATAGAGAAAAGTCTTAGCAGACATGCCACCAAATATGTAAAGAGGGCAAATAAGCACATGTGACAGTATACTACATCAAATCTTACTGGAGAGTTGCAGTAAATACACTTACATAGCATTCAGAAAGGCTAAACCTATAACACTGAACAGCAAATGCTGATCAGAACATGAAGGTTCAGGAGTTCTCATGCACAGCTGTAAATTCAAAATGCCTTCACCTGACTGGAAGACAGATGTTTCTCCAAAACCAAGCATTAGCATAGTCAGTAGATGAATAAATCAATAAGCACTGGAACAATTTTATTGAACAATGTTAATTAGCCTTCAAAATAAGTGAACTATAAGGCTATAAGAAGTGAAGGCAAATAAGTTGGACTCACATGGCCAGTTGAAATCATCTGCAAAGGCTGATTACTTTCTAAGTAATATATAACATCCTCCCAAAGTTAAGACTTTTACCAGATAAAAAATCAGGAGCTTCTAGAGTGGAAGTTGTTAGGGTGGTCACCTTAGGCAAAAAGGATTTTCAGGGCAGATAAATGCTCAGGTGTTGTAGGTTATGACATGTCTGTTTCACAGATCACAGAGTGAATCTCAACAAGAGTGAATTTGAAGTATCAGTGTAGGATCATCAGTTTTTCTGTGAGATGCTGACTGTGAGTGAAGCTATAAATGTATGTGGACAGGGTATACATAAGTTATCTCTGTAGTTTTCATTTTTTGTGATCCTAAATGCATTACTTTTTTTCATTAAAAAAATGTTACCTTTCTTTGTATTATCCAGATAAATACTTAGCATTGTGTTTTATGTGACTGAGCATTTTCTATGACCTCTGTTTCTGGCTAGCAGACCCTACTACAGCCACCTAGGACACATAGTCTCCAAAACTTCTAGTTGAGAAAAAAACGAAAGACACTCATCCTAGTCTGTATGTCTCTGCTTCTGGTCATCACACTATTGCTAACAGCTTATTTCATGCAACTTGAGGAAGTCTGCACCCCAGAGTTCTCTGTGGCTGAAGAGGCTATATCACTATCATATAGACACTGACCTACTTCCCACCCACCTTCACTGCATTAATCCTGATGAGCCTTGTGGATTATGAGCCACCCTTATCATTTCCCTTGAAAAGAGAGATGCTTTGAATCTTCGAATTGCTTCATCCTTTCTTGGATGATGTCCACTAAAGGACCAGTTTAATTATTAATACAAATGAGTTTATATATTTTCTATTTATTTGCCTATCATTTGGAGCACTACCTCATTGTTCTTTGCTTAATTCAAAGTCACAGATTATTATTTCTTTTTTTCTAGCCAAAGTTATAAAACTTTTGTTCTTATGTTTGGGAACTTGATATATTTTCAGTTTATTTTTGAACATAGCATGTGGTAAAAATCCAACTGTATTCTTTGCCTGTGGATATCTCCTCATTCCAAAATATTTGTAAAGAGACTTTCATTTTTCTTATTGAATAGGCTCAGTAATTTTGTCTAAAATCAATTGAAAAAAGAGCATTATCTCATGTGAAATATGC